ATCCCAGCTGGGATGATTCCAGCAGAAGCAGCAGCGTGAGAGATGAGAGGTTGGCCGCTCCGACTCCAGAGCAGGACCAGCGCCAGAACAGAACAGGTCAGAACCATGGAGAGAGTCATCAATAACACACCGCTTCACATGACAGCGGGGCTGTCAGGGAGACGCAGGGACAAAGAGACACACAGGACACCGATGAAAGGAGAGAAACTGCTGGAGATGGAGGGATGGAGAGAGGACAGATAATAAGCTGAACATTAGAATCAACATTAGATGTAATAAGTCCTGCTGAGGACCACCGTGGACCACAGACAGACAGAGGATCAGATGGTTCTGCCCATTTTAGTCATTCTTTCAGTTTTACATCGTCAGCTCTGATGTTTTCCTGATTCTTTTGTTTCTTCTCTTTTTGTAGCATTTTTTAATTTATTGAAGGAAATGATGTAACTGACTAAATGTCATAAGTTTTAAAATCAGAGGTTTGCAGTAACTAAGTACATTTACTTTGTTACAGTACTAGCTACTTGTTACAGCTACTTTTACTTTTATTTCATTACATTTTAAAGCTTAAAATGATACTTTTACTTCTTTACTTTAAGCTTTAACACCTAGTTACTTGTTACAAAATTAAATCTGTTCGAACTCATCATGAAAGATGTTTCTGCTCTAAAAAATTAACTGTTGAATTTACTCAATAAAGTCATGTCAGCTGGCTCCACTGAGCCTAGTTGAGTAAAGTGAGCAAACAATATACATACCGTATATCACTCCATTTACCCAAACTGGTTTAGTGGAACCAGTTTGGTTCAGTAACTTCAACAGTCTATTTCTTAGAGTGTGTAAAAGTACTTTTACTTTCCCAGTTTTTGTGAACAGTTTTATGACTTTTACTTAAGTATTTTTCCCATCACTGACATTTATTTTTACCAAAGTCATTTTCTGTTCATGTAATTTTACTTTTAGTTAGTTTTTTCAAGTACTTTATAGAGCTCTGTTTAAAACAGAGAATAAGTTTGTGYGTTTTATCAATGTTCTGTCTACATAAACAAAAGTTGGTTACGTTAACGTCTGACATAAATGCAGCACCTCCAGATTTGTAACAGAGAAGAGACATACAGTATGTTAAAAGGTTGACTCAACATGACATGGGAGGGTTTATAGTGCTTGTGTGCAGTCTTTGTCTTGGAGCAGCCTGGGACAGTCTGAGCTCTGTTTATGTTCAGATAAGATGGAGGTCATTTTACTCTGAGGCCCAGCAGCTGCTGCTGGAGCTGACTGGAGACGACAATAAAGCTTTTAGAAGAGATTCAACTGATTTTATGCTCTATTATTCATTATTCTTTCCATCAAACTGTGTCTGAAATCTTTAAATGCTTAAAGAACTTTTATTCCACTTTAGCACACTTTTATCATTTTTAACTTTTAGCTGCTGTTCTACTGGTTTTAGCTTATAGTTACTGTTTTACTACCTCTAGCTTTTAGCTACTTCTTCTTCTTCTTTGTCTTTCGGCTGTTCTCTTTTGGTAGATAACATGAAATATATACTTTTGTACACTGAACCAGAAGTGGCCCATAATAAACTCAGGCCTGGCCCGGTCCAGTCCGGTCCAGTACATTAGGGCAGCTGTAGATC